ACTAGCAATGCTGGATGTAAACCAACCTCTGACGTTTCAGTCGTATCATGTGACTGATCGATCTCCGATGGTCGCATCTGATTGAAGTGCCGCTTCCATACTCCGACCGATGTCCTTACCAGGGCCGCCTTTCGTCCTTGGAGTTTCACGATGCTACCAGGGGTCCACTTCTGACGTCCCTGATAGGCTCGGGCCATAACTCGCATCCCAGGCCTGAACTTGCTTTGTGACTCGTCGAATTTTCCGGACTAGTCTCTGGTCGCTCTTTCAACAAATCGAGCCGGCTTCTCAATTGCCGACCGATCATTCTTTTCGCTGGAGTTTCGTTCGTTGAAGCATTGTTGACCATACGATGGCAGAATAGGAATCGTTGCAGGGCGGTGTGCAGATCTGTCTCGCCCCCGGTCATGATTTTCTTCAATGACTGCTTCGTAGTTTGAACGTATCGTTCCACTTGACCGTTAGAGGCCGGATGATATGCTGGTAAGGTTTTATGAAGGATTCTATTTGCTTTGCAAAATGCGTTGAACTCGTGAGAAGCGAACTTCGGATCATTGTCGGTAACTATCACCTTCGGTAATCCAAAACGAGCTATGACTTCTCTCAAGTGACGCAAAGTGCTCTGAGTTGTTTTCGGGGTCGAAATGAAAACCTCTAACCATTTGGTATGAGCATCAACCAGGAGTAATAGATGGCGTCCATCTATCGGTCCTGCATGATGAATATTGTCCGTTTCACCTTCCGCTCTAGATACTGAAGACCTCAATCTGTAACGGTCACTGACCGGTCACCACTTAACCCGTTCACAGTGTTTTCAGCATGACCCATATTCGGATGCTCTTCTGTGTTCAACCCTTTCCTGTGACTCGCTATATATAAGGACAATAAACCTCAGCCAGCCAAGGGGGAGCCCAAGACTGACTCTAGTATTCCGTGTGATCATTCTAGCCGAGGTATCAACGAGATACGTATATCTCTTCACCGTTATCAGCACGAGTTGCTCAGAAAGATAAGTGATACCGTGAACCGAAGTGAAGTGTCCATCCACAATGTCCAATCCTTCAAATTCGAGAGAGAAACCCCCTCTACGGCTACGTTCAAGTTGGCGAGGACGACGACGGCGGAAACACCCCGGTATGCGACAAAGACGAACCTACTACATGCGGTCCTCGACCCAGAGTGGTTAGAAGCATTATCCTGGCTGCTGACGGGAAGGACTACATCGCCTGGAAGACCATCATCCCATCGGTTCTCGACGGCGAACCGTTTGCCTGGGATGTCACCCGAGGACGCCTCAACCCACCGGATCCAGAGAAAGCAAAGACGAAGGAGGGCAAGAAACAGAAACAGGAATTCACCATCGGAAATCGAGCCGCACGATACATCCTGATCAACTCGATCCACCCCGACCTGGCTGTGACGTTTGTTAAATATCCTCCGCGGAGTTTCCCCAAGAAACACACCATATGATGGAGAGCGGGCCGCAGCACCTTTGGGAACACCTTGGATTTAGATATTTCAAGAGACACCGGACCGCGATCCGGATGCAGACGCAACGTGGGAGATTCCAACCTGCCTCGTTGCCTGCTAACGACAGACTCCCTTCTCGGGGTACGCTTGCGCACACCCCGGCAAACGTCCAGATGTGCCCCAACGTGCCACTGATGTTTATTTCTCGCTCTCAGCACTCCGATACCTATTTTCTTGGACTGACAACATATACATTTGTAGCACTCCATAAGTGCCCTTCCGGACTTCTCTGGAAGCCCGTTCGAGCTCACTGATTCACTCATCGATCGGCGGCCGCCGCAGCGGCGTCCTCGCCTTCTGCGGCAGTCTCCAATCGGCAACACTCCCACCCACCGAGGAACTCGGTTTTGCTATGTTCTGGAATTCGATGGTTCGACCGCTCTCGACATTGAACACTTTGTACTTCTCCGGTAACAACTTCTCTCAGAGCGCGACAAGTTGGCGACTCAACACAGACCGGCGACACAGATCCGATTCCTCCGCTAGCTCGCAGCCTCGCAGTAATTTCATCCGTTTAACGTAAAACCTCTTGCATAATGAGTTCTCTAGGTTTTCTCTACCAATCCTGGGCTGGTGGTCCAAATTCGCCCGGAATCTTCCCTTCCCAATCCCTTCAAAACCTCGATGCTCGGAGCTCCGATTCACTGTTTTTTTAGTCACCGTGATTCTGAACATTGTTTTCCCAACTCAGTTGCGATGTCTGCCCCTCCACACCGGACCTCGAGAAGCCATTGGACGTTCGCCAATTCTCCCGGTGGACTCCTGGAGTTGTACTTGGACGCCTCCCGGCCGACGTTTCCCACCCTGGATCAGGAGATGCGGTATGAAGTTCAAGTGCGCATATGGGAACTCATCAGTGAGGATATCCGTGACTTCTTTCGCCGTGGTTCGGCGCGCTGCGTAGTCAGCCCGGTTTTACTCCTCTCCAACGAGGCGGATCTCTTGTTCTTCGCGAACTGCTCGCGGCTCACCTTGCGCTCGAAACGTTCGGGCTTCCGTCCGTCACCTCGATTGTTTTTACGATCGACGCGGAATTCCGAGCGCGTCGCGAGCCGACTCCCATGAGCGTCCCCGCACCCCCGCAAGCATCATCCTCGCAGTCCACAACCGCGACCGAGGTTCGCGCAGCCCCCCCCTGTGAATGCCGCCACCCCCATCGTGGAAGCCCCGTCTCCGGCCTCGGCCGCAGCGTCAGCGAATCCTCCCCCGGCTGAAAAGCCTGCTGAGGGCCTTGGACGTCGCGGTAGCGTGTAATAACCCTTTTGCCGTGACCACCTATAACCCGCTTCAGCTCGCACCCGTCATTCCGGAGCCGAACCGGCCCCCCTCACCGCGACCCCTCGGCCTCCCGCCTTGTCTGTGGTGTGTCGGGAATCGCCTTCCCCAAATGAGCTGAAATTCTGCATTTTGTATTTGTGTATCTCCTCGCGAGTCTTGCACATCCGATTAAACCAATAAATATATGTGTTTTGATAAACGGCTGCGGCCTTCCCCTACGTTGGCCTTCTATCTTTACGGTTGTCCCACGTCCAATGGATATAATAATTGGATGGGCCGCTTCAGCATTTTTCCCGATGGAAATCGGACGATACACGTTCGCCTCTTCTTGTCCGCGTCGTCGATGCCGACAAATGAATCTACTCGACCCATTGGCCAATAGCTCCTTGACGCTGCTGGATCGTCTAGCAAGACCACGTCTCCTACTTTTATTGCTCTACTCCGGATAGGCTTTCTAGCATGTGCTCCTCTGAGCTGCTGTAAATATTCCTTGCGGAACCGCTTCCAAAATGCATTTATGATGCACTGCTGTTGCTTCCATCTATCCGACAGAACTTCCGCCGTCGCTCCCTCTATGACCCTCCCGAGTCCGACTATGTCCGGTAGTACCGGTTCCGCTTGACTTCCATAAAGAAGATCAAAGGGTCGCAGCGGCAGTATCTCGTCCTGATCATTGTTGACTGCCGTCAGCGGGCGATCATTCACCACCTTTTCGATATCAGTGAGAGTCGTTTCTAGTTCTCTGAAGCTGAGAATGTTTCTACCGATGATTTTCCTGAGTGGCTGTTTTATAGTTTTAAACATCCTCTCGTAGAAACCTCCGCGCCACGGCGCTCGCTCCGTGTTGAATTCCCACGAAATTCTATGTTTGATCAGAAGCTCTTGGCACTCCCTCGAAGAAGCCATGTCAAATAACCATTTGATTTCTTTCGCTGCTCGACGAAACGGAGCTGCATCGTCCGAATAGAATCTCGATACTGTGGGGTTTCTATTGTAGAATCGCCTCATAGCTAGCAAAAATTCGTAAGTGGAGAGGTTCGCGACCAATTCGAGCCTCACGGCTCGCGACACTGGGCAACAGAATAACATTATATAGGTGGGGAATGGTTTTCCCTCTGTGTCTTTCGCTGGTATAGGTCCCGCGGCATCTACTGCAGTTACTGAAAACGCCGGAGCTGTGCTCATTCGAAACGCTGGCAGTCCCGGAAAAGGTTCCGCCGCGGGTTGAGCTCTGAATTTCACGCATGTTTTGCACCGTTCCACTACTTTTTTTGCTATCCTCCTAGCTCGTAGGATCAGAAATCTCGCCCTAACCCTCTGTAGAATCCCTGGAACGCTACCCGCATGACAGCAGATGCTTTCGTGAAGCCATCTAACGTAAAGCTTTACTAGTTCATCATCGCCCGGGAGGATGATCGGGTTGGCCGTCTCGTACGAAATCCAAACCGCCTTCTCCAGCCTCGACTTGCACCTTATCAGCCCATTATCATCCGCGAACGGATGGTATTGGTGCAACGGACTTTGTTTGGAGATACCCAGACAATTCTTCGTGATTTCCGCCCCGAAATGGTTGCTCTGTATGCTTCTCAATAGATTGCTTTCGGCGTCGAAGAATTCCCCCGCCGAAATCACTACCGATGGATACCTGATTTTGCTTATGACCCTATTCTTCCGGGAGGTGGTAAAAATGACGCGACCAAAATGACGCGACCAAAACGACGCGACCGAAATGACGCGACTAAAATGACGCGAGTCCAAAACGACGCAGGCCCAGAATGACGCGACCAAAAAGACGCGGGGAAAAATGACGCAGGCCCAAAATGACGCAGGCTTTGTCTGACGCGAGCCCAAAATGACGCGAGAAAAAATGACGCAGGTCCGAAATGACGCGGGAAAAATGACGCGAAATAGCCGGAGCGCAGGAACAGCTAAGACGGGCGAGCGAAGCGAGCATACTCGTAGCCATGCCATTCGAGTATGAATATTGTCAACAAATGCCACAGATTGGGTCAGGTTAGGTTAGTTCCCAGGCGAGCGAAGCGAGCATATGCGGAAGCTAAGACAGGCGAGCGCTAGCGAGCATACGCAGACCTCAGTCACTGTGAGGCGGACTAAACCTAAGTGAGGGCAGGGTGGGAGTCTAGTTGGGTTTGGCCGCGCAGCGGCCTAACCGCACTAGGCTCCCTTACTTCGCTTACTTTAGGTTTATAGCCGAACAGCATCGGGAGCTACGTTTGCGTTTAGCATTATGACATTCCATTATTGGGAATTTCGGGTCATTTTTCCCGCGTCATTTTGGACCTGCGTCATTTTTTCTCGCGTCATTTTGGGCTCGCGTCAGACAAAGCTTGCGTCGTTTTGGGCCTGCGTCATTTTTTCCCGCGTCTTTTTGGTCGCGTCATTCTGGGCCTGCGTCATTTTGGCCTCGCGTCATTTTAGTCGCGTCATTTCGGTCGCGTCGTTTTGGTCGCGTCATTTTGGTCGCGTCATTTTTGCCTACACCCTATTCTTCCATCTCCTTATATACGCAATTATTCGTATTGTTTTTGGCCATGATGACAACGCCTTCAGACCGATGGCACACCTCGTGTCGGTCGCAACCGTCGCGTCGCCGCTACCACGCATTGTATTTTCCGTTCGTTCACTATCTTCTTCTCGTATAACGTTGCATTTAGCGAATGGTCTTTTGGCTCTTCACCCCTTCGAAACCATAGTGGCCCGGATATCCAGAAGTCTCGCAATTCCTGAGTGTCTAGCGCCGCAGCCCCACTCAGTAAATCCGCTGGGTTTTCCGCGGATCGAACGTATTTCCATTGACCGCTTTCCGAATGACTCTGAATTTCCTTGATGCGATTTCCGACAAACGCTTTCCAACGCTCCGGCTTGTCTCTAATCCAAGCTAGTACGCATGCGTTGTCACACCAGAAATGAGTCGATTTGAATTTGACTAACTCGGATTCTACTATTCGCTTCGCAATGCGTATCGCAACTACTGCTCCCAGCAGTTCGAGTCTGTGAATGGACCAGTCTCCTTTCAAAGGAGCTACTCTCCCTTTAGACATGATCATTCTCGTGGCAATGTTTTTTCCCTCGAGTATGATTCGCGAGTAAGCGACGCAGCCGTACCCCACCAGACTGGCATCGCAGAATACATGAAGTTCGTTCGCTGCCTGACGCTCGTTGCATACGAACAACCTCTCCACGTTGATTTCCGATACCGTCTTCAGCTTCGCCACTTGTTCGTTATAATTCCTCAGTTCATCTCCGCAGAGCTTCATATCCCAATCGAACTTTTTGGTCCATGAGGTTTGCAATAATACTTTGAACCCAATCACGAGCGGCGCCACCAGACCGAGAGGGTCGAACACCTGACTAGCTCCTCTCAAGATCGTTCTCTTCGTCGCGGCATTATTTTCGAAACATGCCATGGCCGCCGCGGCGTCTATATGCATCGAATCATTCTGTTGATTCCACCGCACCCCCAAAAACTTGAAATTTTTATCCTCGAACGTGACTTTTGCCTCTGGGTTTTTCCGCTTTATGTATTCACCCACTTCTTTTGACGACGTGGCGAATTTCTTTAGAGGGAAGCATCCCGCCTCGAATACGTCTACTAAAATATCCGCGGTTTCAATGCCCTCCTTGACCGAATCAGCTTTCGCAATGATGTCATCGACGTAGAAATGCTTCTTCACGAAATCCAGTAGCTCTTTCTGGTGTGGTCGCTTTTCTATCTCTTTATCCAAATGATATCTTATCCCTGCGCAATGCAGCCACGGAGCTGAGATCAATCCAAAAGAAAGCCTACACGACTGAAACTCCTTAATCGGCGCTCTTGGATTTTCACTAATGCCCGCGGGCCATAGAAATCTTAGATATGTTCTGTGCTTTGGACTGATTTCGTATTGAAGGTATGCCTTCTCTATATCCGCCGTGATGACAATCGTGCTTTGTCTGAATCTCAGTAGTATGAATACTAAATCTGCGATCAGATTTTCGCCTTGAAATAAGACGTCGTTCAAACCCGCCTCGTCACGCGACCGAGCACCGGCGTCATTCACTACTCGAACTTTGAGATTGCCCTCCGTTGAGGCCATTTTTTTTCACCACCGCTAGTAACGGCAAATAATGTGCCGCTTCACCCTTCCTGGGTGGTGCCACCTTCTCAATGAAGCCTTGGCTTAACAGCTCCCTAATTTCCAAGTCCGTTGCGCGCAGTAACTCCGGATCTTTCTGAATTTGCTTTAATAGTCCTCTTAACCTATTTTCCGCCAGTTTCTTATTGTTCCCCAGTGTGTCTTTGTTCGGTTTAAACGGTAAATCGATCACGTAACGACCCCGGGAAGATTTCCGAATTGTCTTCTCGAAGAAGGCCTGTAGCTCTTCATTTGACGCTTCTTCGCTCTCTTTCGAATACGGTTCAATGCCCATCAATTCCGTTTTCCATAAAAATGAAATATCATCTGGGGTTTTGGTCGTAGACGCGGTCGCAACCACGACATTCGAACCACCTGCCGAACCGCATTGAGTCGGCCAAGAGTTTCGCTTGCTTTTGATTGCATTCAGCAGCCATGGATTGGGCGAGATGTCTCGACCCTCCCCTGTGCCGCATAAGAAAAACCCGAAAATGGTTTCGAATGCTAGATAACCGTCGAGTTTTCTGATTTCCCTCCCGAGAATTGGATACAACGTGTCGACTCCTAATAAGATGCTAATTTCTGAGGGCCAATCCCCCTCTCTGGAGTCCGCCACCCGATCCAGGTTTCCCTCATAGCTCACATGTGGCAGTATGCCATTTACCACGTTTTGCATGGCCGTAGCCCGTATGTCTACCTGATTCTCCGAAAATCTACTCTTCAGGGTTAATTCCACTATCCTGCTTTTGCATCGTTTCGGAGTTGCATACCCCGCCGAATTTAATTGGAAGATGTCCGTCCCGACCTCGTAGGCCCTAGCAGCTCTACTAATTCGTTTGTGACGAGGGTTTTCTGCGATCCCGTATCTAAGATAATCCTGCAGACCGTTTCCTTCCCTTCCGCGAGTACGCGGACGTATCCCGTAGGTAGTTGTTTCACCCCTAAATTAGGCAAAAAAATAGGATTTCTCGAGGCCTTGTATTCTTCCCCTTGCCCGCAAGCAACTAGGTTCACTGACGTATTTGTCTGATTTTGTTTCACGCAGAGAAGAACGGAATGCCTACCATTGCATTTTGAGCAATTGCTTTTGGCTCTACATTTTTCCGCTCTGTGATTTCTCGCCAAGCACATAAAGCAAGCATTGTGTGTCGCCGCCAACTTCCGCCGCTCCTCTATCGATAATTTCTTCGTGCATCCATTACTACGATGTTGACCCGCGCAGAATATGCATGAATGGTCCACCCCCGGAGAGACGAGAGCGAACGAGTACTGATTACTGACTGCACCAGATGAACCCGCCGGACTATGCCTCGGCGCGCCGATAGCTCTTTGATGCTGGTTGGGATAAAAGATCGATTGTTTGGTTTTGAAATTTCTTTTCTTGAAAGTTTCGGGTCTGTTGTTATTCCCGTGTCTTTCCATTGCCAAGATCCTTTCCAGATCGATTTTCTCCCGCTTCAAGAACTTGAGCAAGAATTCAAGCCCACAGCTGGGTGATTCACTTTCTCGGTTCGCATCCCTGAGTCTCCTAAGGTAGCCGAAAGGTAGCGCTTTTTCTACCATGCATGATAGTGGCGCTGACATACCTTCGTATGTATTCCCTACCGTTAACAGCGATTGAATATTCTGTACTATGCATTCTACGAAACTGATAAACTTAGCATTATCCCGTAGATCTTCCTGGCACGCCGCCATGACGATGTCCATATGCTGTTTTGTTGCCACCGTGATGTCACCGAAGTCTTCGTAAACTGTGTCCCTCGCAAGCACATAGTTTTCGGCTCTCACAGAGAACCCCGCGATCGCTCGTGCTGCCCGTCCAACGAGAGTCTTCAGCAGCAGCTCGAACTTATCCAGCTCGTCCCAGGCCTTGGAGTCCACATGAAGAACGAACGCATCCTTCCACCTGTTAAACTTCGTAGCACTTCCGTCGAATTTCGGCACTCTTTCGCAGACTTCTTTCCATGATTTCCTCGTGGGCACGTCCGTCTTCCCCTGCTGATTCATCGTAGAGTTCAATTTCACGCCTTCCGCCTGGAAAGACGATTCTGTGCGGACGGATCCAAAGATTTTTCGCTCGCATTTCCTCAGTCGAGCCCTTAGCTCATGTGACGTGTCGGTGTACGTTCTCAGATATTCAGAATGCTTCGCCTCTTCTTCGTCCGCAAGATCGTCCGTCATCAGCGGCGATACCAGAATCTGAGTGAATGCCCTGTCCAGCCTCTTCCACAGATCCTGAATTGTATTCTCTGACGTGACTATGTCGTCCGCAAGATCTGATGAGTCTCCTTCTGTTAGCAATCGCATTGCTCTGTTGCATGCTTTGGTGAGCGCTGACCTTAGAGCTTTGAGGCTAGAGCGCGCAGCCCTGAACTCCCCTGCTGTGACAGCCTCATCCACTGAGTCTTCTTGTTCGAAACTCTGTTCGACATTCTCGGGTATGATGCTTTTTTGATCACCCGGCATTTTGAATTTTTTTCCTTCACTGCACACCCTACTCTAACGTTCTTGCACGATGACTCGTGGTCCGCAGACGTCGGGTTAGGCTCAACACTTCTGACACCAATGTTAGATATCCTCCGCGGAGTTTCCCCAAGAAACACACCATATGATGGAGAGCGGGCCGCAGCACATTTGGGAACACCTTGGATTTAGATATTTCAAGAGACACCGGACCGCGATCCGGATGCAGACGCAACGTGGGAGATTCCAACCTGCCTCGTTGCCTGCTAACGACAGACTCCCTTCTCGGGGTACGCTTGCGCACACCCCGGCAAACGTCCAGATGTGCCCCAACGTGCCACTGATGTTTATTTCTCGCTCTCAGCACTCCGATACCTATTTTCTTGGACTGACAACATATACATTTGTAGCACTCCATAAGTGCCCTTCCGGACTTCTCTGGAAGCCCGTTCGAGCTCACTGATTCACTCATCGATCGGCGACCGCCGCAGCGGCGTCCTCGCCTTCTGCGGCAGTCTCCAATCGGTAACAACGTTGTTCTTGGACAACGCAGAGGACATTGGAGCCCAGGAGATTTGGAGAAGAATCCGGATCAGATTCCAACAATCAGACGGTACCAAGAAGAACCTGTCCGTCGCCAAATTCCTGCGCTACAGATACCAGCCCGGATCGACTGTGTCCGAGAATCTCCTAAACTACAAGAAGATCGTTTATGAGATGAACCAGTCAGGCTTCGCGCTCGATGATGATCTGACCACTTCCCGTCTGCTTGAATCTGTGCAAGCGTCCCGGGAACCCTTCAGGCAAGCTTGGAGTGCCCGTTTGCACGTATCTGGTGACGAATCCAGGAAAAGTGTTGAAATCCCTGATTGTCATCAACCTCCTCTTGTCGATGACCCTAAGTGTCCTGATCTGGTATAACGGTGAGGGTTTTTTTATTACTTCATCTGTTCTTTTCATTTTGTCCTAGTCAATCTGTTCTTAGGACGCCGTGAGATCACGAGACCTCCACGATCACCGGCACCATTCGCCTCTTTCCAGGATCCTGTGAACCAATCGTCACAACCTTCGGATCAGTTTCGATTGTCCGCTCAATACCGACCCTCCTTTTTCGCTGTCTGCGGAAAAACGGCATTTGGGTGTGTAGGCACGCACCCCAAGGAAAATGCCTTGTATTAGATGGCACCCTCCCGGTGCCTAGCATCGCGATGTGCACGGAGGTGCATCCTCTTTTGAGGTATCTAGCTGAAGGTTGTCAAACACAGGAACACATACTCTATGTGTGCTCCTCATGAGGAATAAAATATTTCCCCCACTGATCTGCGCCTGATCAACCAGTTACGACATTCCAATTTCCTCTGAATTCACTCTTTCCCTCTCACAACATGATTCGGTAACGCTTACCGCGAACAGAAACGGATTTTCCACTCTCCGTGTTCGATCATGTCGTATCAGTCCATCGATCTCGAGTTTGAAGATCTTTATCAAGGGAGTGTCGTCATGACTCTCCTCTCATCTCGTTCATCCCGCGCCACGCGGTCGTTCTCTCTGTGCGCGAGAGTGTTCTCTATGCTCTCAGCGATGCTCCTAATGACCGTGATCTCCGTATATTCCGGTATGTCTGAGTTTTCCGAGGATTTATCAATCCTAATTTTCATCCAATTAGTTGAGTTTCATTTGACAGCAATCGGATTCATCGTGGCCAGTGAATCCACCGATTCCATCTCCAATATCACCTCGACTCATTCATCAAGCTCTACGAATATTCCTCAGCTTCCTACAACTTCAAAATCCGCGGAATTTCAAACATTTGACTCATCGATAATTCCTTCAGTGCAATCCCATTACCTTATTTATGCTCCGCTCCATCCATAACTAGACGCCCGGAGATCCGTCACTCGTGAGTCGGGTACCCGTCACTCCGCTGCGGATGTTTCAACATCAACACGCAGTCCGTTTCGAAGCACCACTCATCATTGGCACCCCTTATCGACTGTGACCGCATCCTCTTCACCTAGTTGGCGCCGGCAAAGCAGCACTCGTTCCGCTACGGGTCCAGTTTACAAAACCGCCACACCAATGTTTGAATCTACTCGCTCCACCATGGCGTAATATCATACTTCCAGTACGACTCCAATCACCGCAGCCGCTTTCTCCACCGTCGGCGTCGGTTCATCGACGAGCTCCACGCATGATATCTCCCTTCTCACGACTGGAATTCCTTTCTCAATCGCTACGACTCTGAACCCGTTCGATTCGACCAATTCATCGAGTGAGAATGTTTCCGAATCCGACTTTTCTCACGAGAGCTTCTCTGTCGCAAGAGCTGCCATCTCCAACTCGCGATCCGTCAACGATCCCTCGACCAGACGTTTCGTCTAGCACGAAGGCTCCGAATTTCGTTGATCTCGATATCCGCCGATATCGCTGTCGCCGCTTCTCTCGATTTCGTGTTCGTATTTCAAGAGCAAACCAGCACTGTATTTTCCTCGAAGTTCACGCTCGCGTTCCGACTCATCTCACGGCCAAGGAATCCGAATTGACCGACATTTCAATTTCTGCTCACGATGCAACCGAGATCGCGAAGCTTTGTCGGAATCATTCGATAATAATATAATGTTATATATAGAGATAGATATAATCCAATAAATTTCTCTGAATAATTTGAGTGCGTTTATTTTTTTGGGATATGAGTTTCAATTCATATGTACCAGAGAGCATGCCATATCAGATCGGCTCCGTAGTATCGAAGCACGGACCGTCTTGTCCCCCCGTGGACGTGGGTGGCTCCGGCAAACTCGCATAGGAGCTTTCCCTCCTCTTCCTGATCCATCTGATCAGTGAGATGATGCTGAATACGAGAAATGAGAATGATGACAGGATTGAGTATCCAATCATGAACTTGATCCAGCGATTCGAATTTGAGTCAGGTGTCGGACCCGGAGGAGCAGGCGTTGGGCCTGTCGAGATGGTGTCGTTGGGTGGATGTGTCTATCGAGATCGTTCCAAATCTCTTCGCCTCTGTTGAGACTAACTTTAGAATAGCTACACTCATTCTTCTAAGCTAAGCTTTCTGTAGCAAGGACAGCAATCGAAGTCTACGGAGACAGCGCAGTCTGAAGAAGAAGTGTGAGTTGTGCTGCTGCGCTAAACGTTGCGAAAGTATTCGAAGAGCAAAGAGACGTCGAAGGATGTCCCGAGGAAACACAAGTCACTTCGACATCAGTCAGGTCGGAGATAGGCGCTCCTCCGTTACAAGGATACCATGGAATCGTTTCGAAAACCCGGAGGATCAAGGCGATGATGAAATAAATCTGGAGGAGTTGGCCTCCTCCCAGCGGTCAGCCGACGTCATCAGGCCCGATGACTCACAAGTGGAACATGGTCGGAGCTCCAAGAGGCGACACGCCAAAAAGAAGAAAAGTAAACTCATGAGGAGGTTACTGTTGCTCGGGAAGGTCACCGCCACCCTGTTGGTACTCGCACTGATCTACCTCTGTGTGAGGTTACAATCCGCCCTTGGTAATGCCGTGTTCCTCACCCATCTGTATAGATTTTTGTTTGCGATTTACAACATCCTGGTGCAATAAAATATTTTTTTTTGTATTTGGCCTAATCCTGAATTTTTCTTGTTATCCTTCGCAGAGTCGAAACTCGTCTCTGAGGGCGTATTCCTCACAGAGATCAGTGAGGAATATCCAACATCACCGAGCACTACCGAGCAAGATCTCCTCAGTCGGCTTTTGCCGACTGAGGGGATGAAAAATTTACCGACTGTCTTCCATGACATGTCGATCGTCTGACGAGCACCAAGTGTGCTTCAGTTCAGTAGAGAGGGCTTGTGTGCTTCGACATCGAGGGGCCACTGTTCGACCCCGTGGTGTGCTTAAGGCCACCCGGGTTAGATCAAGCTCCCTCGATGCTATTGTGTCAGCTATCGGTAATGTTGATTACTGTGCAGATAAAGATTGGTATTTTGAGACCTGATTCGAAGCGTTTTCTCTATGGTGTCTGTCAGCCTTCGCGTTTCACTGGTAGCAGCCTGCACTGGTGGCTGTTTCCCACTGGTCCAGTGTACTCGACCCTTGTGAGCACTCGCCCCCCACTGCAGTCCGTCCTCAAGCTCACCCCGCCCGATCTGCTCCAAATGGTCTTTTAATTTGGCCATGCGGTTTAGGGTGTCTTTGTTAGAAAACCGTTCTCCGAACGATCTGCTCGCTCAGGGGACTTTGTTCGAGTCCAATTAGTAGGACATGCGTTGTTTAGATTCATTCGGACATGTGTCAGTTTCATGGTTTGAAGGGGAGAGACCCGGACCGTGTTTCGTAGTTTTTCGGTCGTTCATGCTTAGGTTTTTCACTTGATCTCGAGTGCTCTCCGCTCCAGTCACCACTCTTTCCCTCGTTATTGTTTAGCATAAAAGACATGCTATTTTTGATCTCATTCACTCTACTCCTAGCCTCCGAGTTCTCCGGGCTCAAGATCACACAGTGACCCAGCGTGTTCAACCATCAATCCCCGATCTCACCCAGATTCCCATCCCCTCAACATGTTCATCGGTACCGGACTTGACAAGAAAACGTCTGAAGCTCTTGCCCGTAGCCGGGAGCTTAATCACGGTCTTTTGAAGCTCTTTTGTGAACACGAGCCCTCCGATGGAGAGAAGCAGCTTCTGGACACCCAGAGACTCATTGATGAGCTAGAGTTCTCTGGTGGGAGAACCCACGAAGAAGCCACCAACGAAGCCACCGAGAAATGGCGGACCTTCAACGCAGAGATGAAGGATGTATATCTCGAAGAGAACCTATACTATTGGCTTGATCTGCCACTAGCAGATGAGGAGCGTGAGGAGGAGCGTAATGTGACGCGTCTCCTAATGCTCAAGCTCCTCCGAACTCGTAGGAACCACCGGATTGAGATCGGTGTGCTAAAAGATCTTCTGCATGACGCGCAGAAACGTGTGGCGAAAACTGGAGGAGGAGAAGAGAGGGTCTTCCTTGAAA